GGATATAGAAGGAATGTAGTCTTTTTGAAGCTATTATTTTCTTATTAAGGAAAACGTAACTCATTGTTTTTGAACATGAGTTTAAATCTAAATGGTGGCTCTGATGTTATCAGGAAAAAAAAAAATCTATTTAACCTTGGGAGGGCAACATTTTTTCTTTGGTGTGGTTCACATCCATTTTCTGAAGGCATGACCCTGAGTGTTGCACACTGTATGCCCATTGGCTTTGTCACTATGAACCAGTGGCAGAGTCTGAGTGATATGGCAGTTTTCTCAAAATGTAATAAGCATCTTTAATAGCAGAGCTCCTTTTTCTCCTTATGTATGTGTGTCAGTGGTGCACTATTTGCCTCTGACAGTTGCAGTGGGGAACAAGATGGAAGTTGCATATACCTAACAAAAGCCATTTAAGAGTTGGGAAGGGAAGCAGGGATATAAAGAGAGTAGGGCACAGCATCCTACAGCACTGCAGGCACAGGGGAAGGCCAAAAGCCTGCTTAAACCAAAGCTGCACGCAGCTGTTACCAGGAGCAGGGCAGAGAAATGAGCAGCCACAGCTGGCTGCTGGAGGAGGACAAACAGCAGCACCGGGTACAGGTCTGCAGCACAGATCGAATGTCAAGAGCGTTATAAGGAGTTGCCATCAATCAAAGCTAAGTTCCTAGCGTGTATGTAGCTGGTAGTACCAGGCAGCACTGCTTGAGCTCGTGCTTGATAAACTCCACACTTTAAGTGTTCAGTTTCACAGTGTGTTTTGCTTATACGTTGTTGAAGTGCTGCCTATAGTTCAGATAGTAAATCTGGGCCACTCATCACTGTGCTGCACTCCACTTGGTGTCCCAGTGCTTGTGTGGTGCCGCAATTATCTTATAACACATCATTCTGCCCTCATCGCTGTTTCCAGGCATATAACGGCTTTCGTCCACCTTTTTCCTTGCATTCTTTTGGTCTGCCATCATGGTTACACTCATTTGCTCAGATATGCTTTTAGCAGTCTTGAGATGTTTCTCCATACTACTCCCTGCACCTCTGCTCCTTCTCAAATCATTCACATGTTATAAACAGGGGGATGGGATTACTGTCACCACTTGCCTACCCTCCTACAACAGATGTCACGGTACTGCCCTGAATCAGTCCCTGGAGGTAAATATTTTCAGTTATCACTTTCCAGTAACCGCAGAACCAACTACAAATTAAATCTGTGGTTTGTAGTATGGTACACATAAACACGCTTTTCTCTGTCACTTTCACAGACCTTTCAGAAGTGATCAATAGGCCCCATGAGTTCCTAAATACTGCTTGTAACCATTCATCCGGCTTTAGGAAAGCATTAAATCTTGACTTAAATTTTTTCAGTGAAGAAGAATACACAACACATTTGATACTTCCATGGCTTGCCACACTTCAAAGCACGCCTTTTAATTTTAATTGTAATTGTCTAGACCCAACTTTCACCACGATATGTCCCTCTTTAAATAAACACCAGAAGATTCATCACGTGGTAGTGCACAAAGATCTTGAAGTTTGCTATTTAGTCATCATATTGCCAGTGTTTTGAGGGGTGGGCATACAACACATCTGTGCTCCATGAACAAACTGTGTGACACAGAAGCATCTGCCAGCCAGCAAGTGATGACGGTGATGGCTGTAGCCCATTTACTTCCTTGATAATCCATCCCTCATGATCTTTCCTGCACAGTTCTTTCTAGAATTAACAACTTCATCAAGTAACCATAAATGTATTTACTCCCCATGCTCTCTCTGTAGTGGAAAGAAACAGGAAATGTCAGAAAACAATTAATCCCTTTGCAGCACAGACACCTAATACCAGGAAGTTAAACTGCCCTCTGATGACACCCCATCCTCTCTATGACAACCAGAATCTATGGGACTGGCTTGCACCAGGCACATCCAGAAGACTCAAATAAGGTCAGATAGATGCCATGGGCACTGAGTAGATCTACCACTGGCTGTTTTAAAACATCAGCTATGCCAGCTCTCAGCTTTGTATTTCTACCACATCTACATGTCTACTTCCATATAACACCATCAATGTAAATTAGTCTATTGCTCCCCCAAGATTTCTGTCATCTGCAAAAGTCATGAGTAATGACTGTGTTTTCCTCAGGTCGTTTTTGAAAACACAAATCAATTCAGAACCAATTATTAGCCAGAGTGGGGCCCTCCTACAAATAACCAATTTAATGGTGTTTCCCTTTTTATCAAACATTTTAAACCTCTCATTTAATGCATCTTGAAAACATTTAGTATGCAAGCCTTTCATTTCATGTGATTTGCATTGCGATACCAAGTAAAATGCTGTATGAAAGCTGTAATTTGATGCTACACTGTTTGTCAACCAAATTTCCAAGTTAGCATGACAAGATTTTCTAGGTTGATTAGCACTAATTATATATATTTTTATCTGTATTAATTGAACCTCATATTAACTGTTACACTATTTTACCAGGATCTCTGTCATAATGACAGATTTGTAATCAGAGGTTGTCACACTTACACACCCATACATGCTTTTAAGCAGTAAATGTGATTTACTGTAAATCCTCATAAAGAAATCTTTATAGAATACTTCAAATTTTCCCAGACTTCTAGAACAGAGTTTAGCCAACGTACTGGGATGTTCTCCACGAAGTGAAGCTCCAGTGATCTGCTCTTAAAACTGAACATAAACCGAACCTCTCAATCTCTTACATGAGATTGTATGACATTTCCTTATAAAGATACTTTTTTAGGTTTTAGTGGGTTTAGTGCTTTTCAAAGTGAATTGAAAAGCTGTAGTATCAGCCAGGGTAGCACAGACTTATTTTACAAAGGCCCATCAGTGCCTGTCAGCCTTCCTGCTCCATTCCAAAATCCTTCTGATGTACATCTGTACATCAAATGGACAAATCAGGGATTTCTGATACTGGGACTAAAAGAATTACCTGAGCAAGGCAAATAACACCGCCTGGATTTTTTCTGACCTGAGAAAAAGACTCGAATCCTTCTGCTGCAAAAATATTCTCAGTTTTAGAGCAAAGTCAGCAGCATCCCATACTTTGCAAAGGGAGGAAGAGAAACATTCCGTGAGAGTATGATAGGAGTTATACATAACTCCTCTTGAGAAATATCAAAGCCACGGGTGCTGGAATCCACTTGGCTGTTTTCATCACTGTCTAATTTATGAGGCTCACGCTGTTTTGCTTGAGAGTTCTCTAAGCAACAAGTACACTCAGCTGTACCTCTGCTGCACAAATGGGAACTTCATCTCAAGCACCACAGCAGTATCTATGCTTAAAAAAAAATTAAAAAGAATAAAACAAGCAAACAAACAAACAAAGAACAGTTGTAGAATACCTCAGTTCTGTGTCCTGGTCAGCCTGAGGAAATTCAGACTTGCCCATATCAAGCCAGGGAGCACATCAAAGAACTGTAGGGTGTTTTAGGCCAAAACTGCTCCTTGTGCGCTGAAGCTGATCTGCACAGCCAAGGAGACATGGGGACAAAAAATGACTAGAAGGTACAAGTTTTACGTAATATGAATTTGTATGGGTAAAGATGACTGCAAGAGGAACAGCCTTGGAAACAGCGCCCTTTCCTGACTGAGTTATATAGCACTCAGATATGACAAATACCTTTTTGCCTCCTGGGTAAGTGATCTAACGTTCCTCCTTTTCCTCCTTGGCCACCTCCCAAGGGCTGTGGTATGTCCCAGGGGAAGCAGTCAGAGACTACAGGGAGCTGAGTCACAGCCTGAGGGCACTGGGAAGGACTCCTCAATGTAGTGTGCTCAGGGCAGTGGTCTCCACCCCTCATCTTAGAAAGAGGCTGCAGTCAGAAAAGGGACAGGTAGCTGGGATCCAGCTGACATTTTCTGCAAGCTCCTTGCATTGTACTGGGAAATGAGCAGACATGTGGACAAGATGAACAAAAGACATCTCCAGAGCTCCCCATCTTTACCTTCCTCTTACTCTGCATCTGTTGGACAGTCGGATTGGCCAACTTCCCACTGCCTGCCCACCTCTCCCAAAGTGGGCACCTAAATCACAGGCACACTGTCCACATGCGAAACACTGCTGGAGCCTTCCCACTGCTTTCCACATGGGAGCTGGGTTAGGTTTGCTGTCAGTTTGTGAACATGAAAGGGATAAGAACCACAAATTATGCAGAACAGAATTGCACCCTACCAGTTTCTTAAGACATGCAAGATGTTTCAGTTCCATTGTTATACTAGCACGCTTTTGGAGAAAATGTTTCATACAGCCAGAGGCACCCGCTGTGAGCGACAGGCCTCGTCCCGTGCTCCCGATACGGCTCTGTATCAACTCCTCTGCTGTCACCGAGGTGTTGTTTCATGTAGAAGGGTCCCACAGCATGCTACCCATTGTCAGAATGGCTGGGACAGTATGAATTACCCTAAGGAATAACCTGAGTAGGTAAGCATTTATTAGGGAACAGTGAAAACCCAACTTTTTCTTCTGTCTGCACTTCACTATATTGTAATTAATGGAAGGAAAAGGAGCACTAAAACAGTGATGTGATCACGGCCCGCTCACAGACCTTTGGTTCAGACCTACTCTCGTCCAGGCCGTAACACAATCAAAGGCAGACTCAATTTATTCAGGGTCTAAGTCAGCAGGAATTAACCTTTTATGAAAAACTTCGGACAGTGCTCGGCATGACAGAGGAGCCCGTTCGTTTCTCCCAGGGATACGTGGTCTCCTGCCCAACGCCACAGCCCTCCCGCGGGCCCGAGGGTGCCGGGACACCCCGACACTTCCACCCGGCCCGGAGCAGCCCGTGCCCGGCTCCCTGCCGCCTCCCTTCTGCCCCCCGGCCGCCCCCCTCCCCCGGGGCCGCCTCTCCCCCCGGCTGCGCCGGGCCCGCCGCCCTCTCCCGCCGCCCCACACCCCGGCGGCGGCTGCAGCCGAGCGGAGCGCTGCGCGGGGGCGGTGCGAGGCGCGGAGCTCCGCCGCGGCGGCCGCAGGGGAGCGCGGCTCCGCCTGGAGCCGGGTCACGGCGCGGCCGCCGGAGGGGAGGGGGCGGCGGTGCCCGCCGGGGGTTTCTCACCTTGCCGCTGCGGCCGGGCACAGACGCGCGGCGGAGAGTTGAGCGTGGAGGAAGTTTGGGGGAGTAACTCGGCGGCTCCGACTGCTGTTTCGGGAGGGATTTTTATGTGTTCTTTTTTATTTTATTTCATTTTCTTGCCCGGCTCACAACTCCCTCAGCCGCTCGGGCAGCCCGCACGAGCAGCGCACGCAGTGCGGGCGGCAGGCAGAGCCGGGGAGGGCAGCAGCTCGGCGGGCAGAGCCGCGTTTCTTCGCAGAGCCGCGGTCCCGTGCACAGCGGATCCCAATGCAACTGCTCATCCTCCTCCTCCTCTACGCCGTCGTCTGCGCGAACTTTTGCAGCCGTCAGGGCACCACCGCCCCTGCCCAAAGCGGATCTATCAGAGCCCTGCGCTCCTCCAACGTCAGGCGGGATGGTGAGTGTCCGTCTGCCTTCTTCATCCCCGGGGGCTCGGTCTGCGGACGGAGCCCCGAGAGAGCGCCCCGAGGGCTGCCGGCCCGGAGCGCGGGTGGCCGGGCGGGGGGAGAGAGGGAGGTGCAGGCGGGGAGGCGGCTCTGCCCGGCGGCCGCTCCCGAACTCCTGGGGGCAACGTGCGGCAGCCGTGCGGGCAGCCCGCCTCGCCCTGACGGCGCGCACGCGGCGCGGAGTGCCCGGCCCGGCCCGAGCCGCCGTGGCTCCGGGACGGTGCGGCCAGTTCGTCAGCTCCCGGTGCGCCTTCCTCCTTCTGGAGGGCAGCTTTGACAGAGGGGCCTGGGCCCGGGACGGGCTGTTCGCTGGGTTTGTGGGGCAGCGCTCGCCGTTAGTGTTAACCACGCTGTTGGCAAAGTGATGCCCAGCGATGGTGAGTGCCAGGGAGGGTGGCTGGAGGCTGTTAGACACTGAGGGCATGGTAGTGTGGTAGGGACGATGGTCCCAGTCTTCGTGTTTTAACACGGGCACGTTGCCTGTTGTGAGCCGCCGCGGCCTCGGCTACTGAGGTGCTGGCCGATCTGTGCCCTGTGGTGGATGACTGCAGGGCTGCAAAGCATTGGCACAACTTACATTCACCTTCGGAAACCACTTGCTCATGATCAAAGAAGACCAACTCTTAGGATTTGGGAAAGGGAAGAGCCTCTGCTGTGGGATCTGCAGGTTGTGTTCCAGCGCCCTGTGAGAGGATCTGCTCCTGCTTATTGCAGCGTAGCTCCTTCAGAAGAAAATGCGAGATGTTCTCCTGAAAAGGAGCAGAGTTCTGTTCAAGTCTTCAAGTTAATGTCTTTCAGTTGCCAGCATTTATATCTTTTGTAAATCCTTTTTAAGAACCCACTTACTTGAGTCATGTCCAAGATTGTACTCTGCATTTGCCAGTGTTTATTTTTCAGCGTGTATACAGTGCGTGTAATGGGTATACAGTTGATTTTGGAAGATGTTTTTGGTTCAGAGTTGGAGCCATATTGAACTTAGTAATCTTTTGTATACCTTTCCTTGTCAGTGCATGGTGGCGTAGACGAGGTGAAGAGACTTTTTCTTAAAATTGAGATAGCAGAACTGGAAACAAGACAAAATTGCAGTTACTTGGATCTTGGAAACCAAATTTAATCCAATACAAAATGTGTTTGCAATAAAAGCCCACATCCATTATTTCTGTTTCATTCTTTCAAATGGTTGTGCATTTTATCAAGCTTCATGAGTTGTTAGCCTGCCATCTTAACCTTCTCAAAAGAGGTGATTTATTTCAAACTTACAGTGTGTTCCGTGGTGGTCTTTTCTGTAGAGTTGGTGGAGAAATCTGTAATGCTTAATGTGAATAAAGTTTTCAAATTGTTGGCAGTGTGATGAGTATTTTGCTCCACAGAAGAAAACTTCCTGTAGGGAAATTTCTTTTTGGAATGACTGAGAGAGCAAGGCTGTGTGAAATGATTAGTTAATTACTCTTTTCTCCGCTGTGGTCATCTATCTTTGCAGTTAAGCTCTGTACCCTTAAAGCTGTCTTTTACACCTTGCGGTGACTGAATTTTCTAGGTGCCAGGTGTGGCACCAGGCAGTGGGTTGTTTGGAAATGGCAGATCTCACTCTTGACTGAACCCACTGTGCTGTATGAATGGTAGCCAGGCTGATAACTATGGACAGGAAGAAGTGAGCTGATGCAGAGCTCAGACAGCTCTGTCTGAACAGTGGGGCATTAACCATGTAACAAGCAGGTAACACAACTTGAGGAAGACTGCGTACAGACCTCCATTTAGACCCTGCCTTGCTCTCTACTTGCACTCAGGACTTCTGTTTTTAATCTGCAAAGGACAGCGTATTCTGACATGGCCAGTGGAGCTGGGCATCTGCTCATAGCATCTAAAGCAGTTCAGCTGCCAACAGGCCTGAGTTTACTCCAGTGAACCAAACTGTTGCTTGAGTTTGTTGACCAAAGACCTATATTTGTGCCGCCAAAGGTTATGAGCTGTTTTCCAAATATTGCATGCATGAGACAAGCTCACAAGCAGCATTCAGACCATAGTTGGCTGTACGCCACCAGAAGTATTTCTGTCTTTTACAATTCTCAATGTTTTGTTTTGGTCTGAAGTGCTGATATGGAATTGCATTAAAGACATGTGGATTGCATTGCTGAGTGAGGCAGACAGTATTTTTTGCATTGTAAGTATTTGCAGATATAGTGATATGGAATAGGATCTAAGAGCACACAATATGCTGGGAGTAATATGTTCCAACAGTCTCTCTCAAAATGCACAGCAAGTATAAAAACTAATTTAATATTATGTCCTGGGTTTGATGATCATGATTATTATGTTGTGGAATTAAGAGAGATACTGCAAAGGAAGCCAGATCTGTTCAGCTCTCTAAAAAAGAATATTCTCTCTTGGCATGTCCAAGACCACCTGCACATTTTATTAAAAAAGAAAACAATCCTTTGGATTTCAGTTTTCTGTTACCTCCAAGCAGGATAAACCAGAGGTACGGAATACACAGAGCTGTAATTCAGAGCCTTGGTCTTGCTTCTGGCCAAAAAGAGCTTCTTACTGTGCAAGATTCCAGATTGTCTTTCCTCTTCTAGGTAAAGGAGGTTGGTCTGTTTGTAATTGCATTTAGTGCAGACTGAGATTGCTTTTGGAAGAAGTCTATAGATGAAGGGCAACACATACAAAATCAGTCCTAATGATTGCCAAACCTGAACTATACTTCCTGCTGAATATATTAAAAATATAAATAATCTGCTTACAAGACATCGTCTTGTCCTCATGCAAGGACAAGCATTGATGATTCAGCTGTCCAGTGTAGCACTAATCAATTATTTTAAAGCATTGTGGAGATGCCAACAACATTTATAGCACATGTAATGGTATTTATTTAAAGTCTTTATTAATATCATTATCTGTTAAGTCCTTTGAAATTTGTCAGAATTACACACAAAGAGCTTTGAGATGATACTCTTATCATCTTTACCTCAGTTTACCAAGTTGTAGTATGCATACAATTCTAGCTAATTGCAAGAAGTCTGATATTTTGGTTGTTCATGTGTACATGGAGATGAAAAGTGGAGATGAAAACTGCTAAATAATGTTTACTGTATGGTTTCCAGCTGACACATCAGTTGTTCGCTGATATTTGTTGTGAACAAATATCTGTATGAACACTCAGTCTAAGAAATCATGCCTAATCTGTGCACCATCATGCGTATTTTCAACTTTAAAACCCAAAGTTTAAATGGGTCAGATCATTTTAGTATGTAAACAACCAGAAGACATAGGATCAGTGTCTCCTGAAGTGGATTTGAAAATCCATGACATCAGACAACTTAAGTTTTTTTGGAGTTTTTGTGATTTTTATTTTGAAATGAAAAATTAGGAGCTTTCAAGCCTTGGATTGCTTGTGTCCACTCTCCCGCCGGGAGAAGCGGCAGGAGCTTTTGGCTGTCCACAGGGATATGTGCCATCAGTGTTACCCTGCACTTCCAAAAAGAGTTTGACAGTTCGGGCTGTGTTCTCTCACCAGATGGATGTTGTCTGCTCTCGTGAGAAGAAATGAATGAATCTTTTTAAATACTTATTAAGAATGGCTTTGTATCACTAGTGATGTAGGATCCAAAGTTTTGGAATACATTTAAAGTGTTCTTCTGTAGTATAGAGTGTGAAAAACATTGCATACATGTTCTTTTTTTATCAGAATCTGCTAACCTTGTGTCAAGTGCAGAATAACTAAAACACCTTCCAAGCTTCATCACATTACCAAAAAATAAATTGAAAATTGTAATTTGCTGTAGTAACACAATTTGTTCCTTGATTGTTTAACCTTGATGATGTCTCTTATCTGTAAAATTAACTGTCTGGACTAAAGAGTAACAAAGGATATCACATGAGAATTGCAACCCTGACTCAGCAGCAAGCACTTTGTAGCAGTTCTCCAATTGTGCACTGAAATGTATTTTGCTAGGTAGATGGATATCACATAGTGGAAGTTGCTTTATTTACAACTCTCCATCCGTTCTCCTAACAGTTCTGGCTTCTCATTAGTACATTTATTTGCAAGAAGCTTAGGCCAGATAATTATTAAAGGGCTTACAGAGAAAACTAGGTAATTGTGTTGCTTTGATTCCTAGAAATGAAATACTGCTGAATCCCATTTTGTAAAGCACCTAGGAATAGAAATAAATAGGAAACTCACGGGGAATCATTAGTGAAGTGACATTCTTTGTGTGCTTCACTTTGTGGATCTATGTAATTTCATTAAGGAATGGAGGCTGCATCCTGCAGGATTCTGTGATAGCAAAGCTTGAATAGCTTGTATGAGGATGTGGCTATGTGCAGTTAAACTAACTTTGTCTTATGAAGCAAGAGTACAACTACTGGCAGAATCTGTCAAATATTCTGTTAAAATAAGAACATATACATGCAATACTTGTGTATCATAGGCATATTATGCACACACATACATAAAGATATCTTGTACCTTTTACATAATGTATAGGTTATATGCTCGTACATAATACATAGGCCAGATGACATGAGGAGGTAGCACACAGTATAAATGGTTACCAAATTAGCATCATAAATTTAAATATGTTATACCCAGGAACCTTGTTTAGAAAATAATCCCATGCAGGTTTCATGTGACTTTCCAAAGTCTCAGCTGAACAACAAACTGCTAGACAGAAATTCCAACCAAACTGTTCTGTGTAGTTGAGGTTATTTTTACATGATGTCACCAGCCATATCATCTATGGAATTTGAGTTGTAACCAACAGTTACTCTTAAAGGTGTTTATCAACTGTCCAGGCTGCAAGTGGAAGTTCTGAAGTTCTTTACCTGCTGATTCTGTGATTCTGTGATTTTGTGATTCTTTACCTGCTGATAATATTTTATTAATTAAGGAGAAATTTATAGGGAAAGGAATTGTCAAAAACAGAAGTTCTTTCAACAAAAATAATGT